GGTATCAGGTCAAGTCATTAACATGTTCTTCCACCTGAGGTCCGAATTGCATGTTTGATTCTTTATTGGCACCTTGAAACATCTGCAAATTCCGCACGTGCAGCGCAATTTAAAAAAATGATCAGGGACTTTTTTTTTTTTTTTTGCGTTTCTGCATGCAAAACAGCCCATTGAAATGAATAGGCTACCTACACGCAGAACATAGTTAACAATGATGTAAACCTAGCCTAAGATCCTTCAAGTCACAATCCCGTTATTACAACAATGTTCTTAGACCCCTACCGGGAACATCACAAGCAGGGCCCTCTGTTTCCTCTTGTACCAAATTGTATTGTAACTATAATGTCTACCTTCATTTTGTAACGCGCAAACTGTTGGCGCTATATAAATCCTGCATAGTAATAATAATAATAATCACAACCCCCCCCCTTTACATCACAGTTTTTGTTCCATTTACATCAAGATCACTCCTTCACATCACTCCCCCCATTAATATCACCTTACCTTCACAATCCTGTCCTCAGCCCCGCTTCATATCACCCCCTTCACATCCATGTCATCACCCCCCCCCCCCCCCCTTTATATCACTCCCACCTCCTCTTTCAAATATCTGTCCTCTGCCCCCCTTTGTTTCAGCTCCTCTAAATTCCTGCCCTCATCCCCCTTTACATTCCTGTCCTCACTCACCCCCATTCCTGTCCCTTTATATCACCCCCCTCCTCCTCCATATTCCAGTCCTCTGCCCCCTTTCACATCATCCTTGGCTTCCCCCAAATCCTTCACAGCAGTGACAGTAGTTCCCGTTCATCTCCTACCTACAAAGGGCGAAAGGTGGGAAGTACATCAGTATACAGCTGCCATCGGAGGCAGGACAGTTCCGGATTGATGTCGGGAGGCATATCAGTATACAGCTGACACTGGAGGCAGGACAGCTTCAGAATTATGGTGGGAGCTGCACAACTTTTCCTGGTAACCAGCAGGTAATTGGTTTGAAGAAACCAATCACCTGCTGGTTACCAGGAAACGTTGTGCAGCTCCCACAATAATTCTAATAATAATAATAACCAATCATCTGCTGTTTAACTTGAAATGATAACGTGACAGTTCCCACCCTCCATCTGGAGCCTCCAATGTCCGTTATAGACTGATGTTCCTCCTGCCGTCCATCTGGAGCTCTTCTGCCTCCGATGTCGGCTGTATACTGATGTGCCTCCCTCCGTCCATCCAGAGCTGTCCTGCCTCCAATGTCAGCTGGATGAGGATGACAGAAGTGACGGCAGCTGAGCGGAAGAGCCGCCTCTTCAATGTGGAACTGCGGCCAGTCTGGATGGGATAGTAACTCGGTTTGGATCTGGACTGCGGTCTGCCATTTAGTGATGTCTGCTTTACAATTTTATGAATGTTCCATTATTATACTTTAGGACGTTGTGGTCAAAGAGTTTGGAATTTGCGAAAGGATGTGTGTGGTCTATCAACATCCACTTGGAACACATATTACGTAATTTTTTTGAAGAGGCTAAAGTTTCAAATAACGCCCTTCAAGAGATTTTTTTTTTTTTTGGGGGGGGGGAATCAAACACTGTCAAAGGCAAGTTTTCTTTTGAAATTTGTCTCCCCACCTCCTTAGTTTAACTCTTTACTCCTAGATTGTACATTTGCTTATTACCTAATCTATGGAAACCCACTGGTAGAACATTACAACATGACAATTTTGGCATGGCTCTAACAGGTGGACAAACTGATCTATTATGGACCCCTTGCCTGGGGAGTCTCAAGCGATAAAAGTCATAGAAATTACCTTGCCAGCACCCAAACAAAATTCAATGGGCGGACTTGTAATCCAAACACTGCTTTATATCCAACTAACAGTATACAGGAGTATAAGGTCTACTATTCAGACTTGGATTCAGCTCCAGGATGTACATGTTATAAAACTTCAAGACAATCAGTTATGTCAGTAAAACTAAATACATTGGAGGGAAATACACAACTGCACTTATTTAAAGTGGTTCTAACAGGTAGGACATGTTTACCTTAATACAGGGAATGCATTAAGGTAAAAAATGTCTCAGTAGCTGTATTGCCCCCTCACCTCCCTATGTGCTTACCTGAGCCCTATGCCGATCAAGCATTGTGCCTGTCTGCAGCATTGCTACCCTATGTTCCTCCCCTCACAGGTCAAAGAGGCAGTAGCAAATCCTGTGAGAATGAATGGAGAAAGGGGCGGGGCCAAGCCATGCTGTGTGTGTCTATGGGTGCACACTTGCCCAGCTCAGAGGTAAGCCCACAGCGGTGCCCCCATAGAAAGTATGGGATGACACAAAGAAGAGGAGGAGCAAAGAGCACTGGGGGAGGACCCCAGAAAAGGAGATTTGGGGCTGCTCAATACTATTGCAGAGAGCAGGGAAACATACCATGTTTATCATTTTAGAATATTCACATTCTTGCATAAACCCAATCAAGACTGGATATTTTTAGCATTTAGAATTTTAAGAAAAAACACTGTACTTCATCAGGGATTCCCAATTTGCTATGTGTTTGAAACTTTTAAATCTTGCTGATGCATATTAACCACTTCAATACCGGGCATTTTTACCCCCTTCCTGCCCAGGACAATTTTCAGGTTTCAGAGCTCTCACACTTTGAATGATCATTGCTCGGTCATGCAAGACTGTACCCAAACAAAATTTTTATCATTTTGTTCACACAACTAGAGCTTTCTTTTGGTGGTATTTAATCACCACTGGGGTTTTTATTTTTTGCTAAATTAACAAAAAAAGACCGAAAATTAAAACAAAAACCAAAACACTTTTTTTTGTTTCGGTTATAAAAGTTTGCAACTAAATAATTGTTCTTCATAATTTAGGCCAAGATGTATTCTGCTACATTTCTTTGGTGAAAATGACCCAGTATTTAATATTTAGTCTGAAGGAAAGTTATAAAGTTCACAAACTATGGGATATATCTGAAAATTGATCAATCCTGAAGTACTGACAGCCAATATAATTTTCTTGAGGTCCAAAAATGTCAAAACAGTACAGATATCCCCCAAATTACCACTTTTTGAAAAGTAGACAGTCCGACGTATTTAATAAGAGGCATGGCGAGTTTTTTGAAGTTGTAATTTTTTTGTCATACTTTTTTGGAAAATGAAGAAATTAAAAACATTTTCACATTTTTTTTTTTTACATACTGTCACTAGTGCAGTACAGCATCATCATATAACTGGTGTGGAAGTGATCAGGGACGCTGGCTGATGACAGTATTGAAAAAAAAAAAAAAGAAAAATGTTTTTAAATTTTTTATTACTTTTTTTTCTTCATATTACACTATGACCAAAGTAGTATACTGTATACATAGTAACACTGTACTACTTTGGGGAAGTGATCAGTATTTTTTTTTTTTTACACAGTTTGGATTGCTTATAGCAAAGAATTTCACTGAATGAAATCGATTCATTCGGGTTTTTTTTGTGATTGGCCACGGTTAATCACACGACACAGATGGGCTGTGATTGGCCCAGCCTGTGCATGTCATCACTGTGACCATTCACAGCTAGACACACTTGCATACAATGGATGGCATGAAAGGAAGCCATCCATTGTTTACAACGGTCATGTGACCTGCTGTGAAGGGTCACAGCAGGTCACACGGTACTGGCAATGGGGCCGGTACACAGATCTGTCTTCGCCTGTGTCCGAGGTACACAGCTGGTGACAGATCTCGCCACAGCGTGGCCCTGCGGGCACGCGCAAGGCGCGATCTGGGAAGGACATCATATGACACCCTCCCTTGGTTTCCAATGAGATGCAAAAGTTGCTCTCATCAGAAAAGAGGACTTTGGACTACTGAGCAACAGACCAGGTCTGTTTTTCTTTAGCCCAGGTAAGACGCTTCTGACGTTGTGTGTTGCTCAGGAGCGGCTTGACAAGAGGAATACGACATTTGAAGCCCATGTCCAGGATCCGTCTGTGTGTGGTGGCTCTTGATACACTGACTCCAGCCTCAGTCCACTCCTTGTGAAAGTCCCCAACACTTTTGAATGGCCTTTTCCTGACAATCCTCTCCAGGCTGCGGTCATCCCTGCTGCTTGTGCACCTTTTTCTTCCACACTTTTCCCTTCCACATAACTTTCTATTAATGTGCTTTGATACAGCACTTTGGGAACATCCAACTTCTTTTGCAATTACCTTTTGAGGCTTTCCCTCCTTATGGAGGGTGTCATTGATGGTTTTCTGCACAACTGTCAGGTCAGCAGTCTTTCCCATGATTGTGAACCAGACAGAGACCATTTAAAGGCTCAGGAACCCTTTGCAGGTGTTATGGCTTAATTAGCTGATTAGAGTGGGACACTTTGAGCCGAGAATATTGCACCTTTTCACAATATTCTAATTTTCTGAGATTGTGGATTTGGGGTTTTCATGAGCTGTAAGCCATAATCATCACAGTTATGACAAATCACGGCTTGAACTATCTTTCTTTGCATGTAATGAGTCTATCTCATATATTAGTTTCACCTTTTAAGTTGCATTACTGAAATAAATGAACTTTTGCACGATATTCAAATTTTTTGAGTTTCACCTGTATATAAGTTACAAATTGAAGGTCACCCATTGACTTCTAATACCTCTTGGGTGAGATCTCTTGATCACAGTCCCTATTTTTCCTGACCATCTCGGATGTTTTGGGTGTTTAATGAGAGCTTCCTGGTGAATTACTCATAACATACAATAAGTGAAAAATTCCACAGGGAGAGTGGGACACCTTCACAATGGCTGCAGTAGGTGTGTAGACCAAGAAACTCAAAAGCAGAGATCTCGCCAACAGTCTGAGATATATAGAAAACTGCTAGGGGTGGACTGACAAATTATTGAAATTAAAAGACATGTTGCGGACAATGGCAAGAACATAAAATTTTACATTCAGTCAAAAGATATCGGATATGTATGAAAAAAACAGCCAAAAAAAGATTCCACAGTTTGAGCAGTGGATTGTCTTACGTGAATTTTCCCTTTGACAAAGGTTGTTATGTCATCTTCATTTTCAAAGATGGATAGAGTCTGAAGCAGATTATTTTCCAACCATTCCCAGTGTTCAGTGATCTCTTTACGTGATGACCCTGAAGAAAGATATATATATTAGGAACACCAAAATAACATCAATTGACCATCTTCTTCTCCAAATATCTGGAAAGGCAATTACTGAAATGTGTAAAGATTGTCATATTTTTCACATGTATTATACTATATAATTATTACTTCCAACAGGATATAAAAAGTGGAGATGTTTAAGCCTGGGACAAGTGTGTGTTTAGTATTTCCTCTACTCACCAATTCTTAATGAATTATTGAATATTTCCATATCCATCTTATCATTACTGAGTTGCATATTTCCCAAAAAAATCAACAGCAAAAGCTTAATGAATATTCAGGATCATCCCAACCCTTACTGCACGTTCAAAGAGTTCCTGTTAAAAATAAATCTCTCTTTTCTTTACACTTTCTTACACACGCAGCCAAGTTAAGGTAGTGTCTGATGTTCCATTGTTTTGAACTAGGATTCCTTTATTTCTGCATGGACAAATGGTAGTAATGTAAGTGGGTGCTTATGATGGTAAAAAAGGGGGGCTCTATGTTACTACACCAAAAAGACAAAATCAGCTAGAACAATTTTATTGAAACCAAAGTGGCATTTAATTACTTTTATGCAACAGGAATATCATTTGAAAAACGACGCATAAGGCAAGTCATACCAAAAATTTCCAAAAGTGTGTGATAGCTGTTCTTGAATTGAAAGCAATGACATCACCCATTCCTAATAAATGGATGTATAAAGAAAATCTGTCAGGTACATACTGCAGATTAGCCTTTTTACAATGAAGGAACCTTTGAAACAGTTTTAAGGTCTTAAGGAACCCCTCTCTAAGAGTATTGGACCTACAGCTCATGCTACATTACTGTGATCAGTAGGTTGTGGACACTTTTAAATAAAATAATAAAGAATGGGATTAACATAATAGTCATGAAATTAAATAATAAGAATGGCCAGAAAGAAACACAAACAGTGAAATCTGTAGTGACCACTTATGCTGGTGGTCAGTGTAGAACTGCCCCCTTTACATAGGTGTTCAGTGTAGAAGCACAACTTTACATTGGTGATCAGTTTAGAAGTTAACCCCGACATTGGTGGTATGTTTTGTGCTACTCTAGGCAACTCAAAAAAATCTGCCGCCCCCATCACCCGGGTTAAATCAGGTAGTGAGGAAGTGACATATTGCCTCCTCACCGCCTGTCAAATACCTCTGAAAAGTGGTGATAGCTGCATGCCTAAACTTAGCCTTAATATTAAAACTGGATACACACGGGCTGAATATCAGCCAAAATCAGTCGGTTCAGCAGAAACCGGCCAACTTTCAGCCAATGTGTACAGCTGCCAGTCTGACAGAAGCGGGTCTCACAACTGGCTTTGTCAAATGGACACGCTAGAAAGCCAGCAGCTGATTGACATCCGTTCAGCAATCGCAGCTGATCGACATTTCAGCAATCGCAGCCAATGGGTGTGAGAGCTGATCAGTGTGGGGTGCGGACAGTCCCCCCGTCAAAACACAATAGCACAGCGAGAGCGATTGCTGCACTAAAGCATGCAGCATAGCGTGTGTTAATACAACGAGCTCTCATGTTTTTTTTGGTTGGGTTGAAGGAAAAAAAAACAAAAACAAAAAAAAAAAAAAAAACACCTTCTTGTGTGTACCATGCTTTACCTTTCGCTTTGCTCTCTTCAGCTCCGGTCTCTGAAAGAAACTTGTTTTGCAGGCTCCATTTTATTTATTTTAAAATGCTTTAAAGCAAACTTTTCATGAGCCTAATGCAGCAGCTGTGATTTTATGAGTGCACAGTGTTAAATGCACTGAAAATCAAACAGCTGTCAGTTTCCACTTTCAATTGTTTTAAAAGGGGAATCTGTCATTAAGCTAAATACCCGTCTGGTAGAAGCTGCCATTGTGTAGTTTACAAGCTATATACTAGCTCCTAGACAGTGGATAGTGAATAGGTACTTCCCTGCTTGTGTGTCATTTCGAATAACAGTCTGACAGGTTTCCTTTAGAAGTGGACTATTTCACCATAAACCGGCCATGACCAGGTGCTCCTCTGACAGAGGAGTGAAAAGAATGATCAAAAAAGTTGTCCAAGAGCCAAGGACCACTTGTGGAGAGCTTCAGAAAGACCTGGAATTAGCAGGTACAATTGTTTTGAAGAAAACAATAAGTAATGCACTCAACCGCCATGGACTGTATGCGCGCTCACCACGCAAGACACCATTGCTGAAGAAAAAGCATGTTGAAACTCGTTTAAAGTTTGCGGCACTTGCCAAATTTCCCAAGTATTCAGAATATTTCTTTGTGAATGTGCTTTTATTTGCATGCACAGAATACACTATACAGTATTGGCAAAAGTATTGGGACCCCCTCCAAATCATTGGATTCAGATGTTCCAATCACCTCCATGACTACAAGTGTATAAAATCAAGCACCTAGGCATGCAGACTGCTTCTACAAACATTTGTGAAATGAGTTGCTTCTTAGGAGATTAGTGAAATTTCCTTGCCACTAAATATTCCATGGTCAACTGTTAGTGGTATTATAGCAAAGTGGAGGCAACTGGGAACAACAGCAACTCAGCCACGAAGTGTTAGGCCACGTAAAATGACAGAGCGGGGTCAGCACATGCTGAAGTGCACATTGCGCATAAGTCACCAACTGTCTGCAGAGTCAATAGTTAAAGACCTCCAAACTTTGTGTGGCCTTCAGATTAGCACAACAACAGTGCATAGAGAGCTTCATGGAATGGGTTTCCATGGCCGAGCAGCTGTATCCAAGCCTTACATCACCAAGTGCAATGCAAAGTGTTGAATGCAGTGGTGTAAAGCACACAGCCACTGAACTGTAGAGCAGTGGAGACGTGCTCTCTGGAGTGACAAATCACACTTCTATGTCTGGCAACCCGATGGACGTGTCTGGTTTTAGTGGCTGCCAGGAGAATGGTACTTGCCTGACTGCATTGTGCCAGGTGTAAAGTTTGGTAAAGGGGGGATTACGGTGTGGGGTTGTTTTTCAGGGATTGTGCACACTCCTAAACCTTGTGGACAGCCTTCCCAGAAGAGTTGAAGCAGTTATAGCTGCAAAGGGTGGGACAACTCAATATTGAACCCTAAGGACCAAGGCTGGGGTGCCATTAAAGAGTTCATGTATGTGTAAAGGCAGGCATCCCAATACTTTTGGCAATATAGTCTATTTCTCTGTGAGTGCACTTTTATTTGCATATACAGGCATACCTTGGTTTAATTCGTTCTGAGGGACTTTTCGTATAGTGAAAAATTTGTAAACCGAAACGCTGTTTCCCATAGGAATGCATTGAAAAACCAATTAATCCATTCCTGAGGTCAGAAAAAAGTAAACGCTAATAAAATGTGAATTATTTTATCAAGTCATGCGGTATTTTAGTACTGACAACCATGTGTTAGGCTACGTTCACACTAGTCTTGTGTGCAGGCGGCAGAGAGGCGTTTGGGAAGCGTTTTTACCGCTTCCCAAACGCCTCTGCCAATTCTGCACATTACAGCACATGGTGCTGTTCAACTGGGGGGGGAGCGTTTGCGTCGCGGCAAAATGGACGCCTCTGGACGAGTCAGGAGGCTTTGAAGCCTCCTATTCTCGTCTATGGTTCCCGCTCCGCAAAACGGCGTTTGCGGTGCGGTTGCGACCGGCCGGCGTTTGCGGTGCGGTTGCGACGTTTGCGGGGTGTTTGCGGAGCGGTAACACCACTCAAACTGCATTTAGGCGTTTGTGGGGCGTTATTAACGCTCGGCAAACGTATAGCAACCGCCGCTGAAAAAAAACTGCGCATGCGGCGTTTGCGGAGCGTTTGCCGAGCGTTCAAAACGCTCAGCAAACGCCGGACCAACGCTTGCCAAACGCTATAGGGGCGTTTGGCAAGCGTTGGCAAAACAGCCAAGTGTGAACGAGCCCTTAATGTTTCAGCTGTCAGCGGGGTTCCCCACTGACAGCTGAATGTAAAAGAATTGCCAGAAATTAAAAAAATAAATAAACGGCGTGGGGTCCCCCCTCCCATCCATACCAAGCCCTTCGGGTCTGACATGGATTTTGACGGGAACTCCCATGCCAAAATTAAAAAAAAAATGGTGGGGGGTCCCCCCCAAATTCCATACCAGACCCTTATCTGAGCATGCAGCCCCCTCCTGAACCATACCAGGCCACATGCCCTCAACATGGGGGGGTTGCTTAGGGGCAGGGGGACCGTAAACCGAAAATTGCATTAACCGAGGCGTTTGTAAACCGAGGGAAAACCTGTATAGGATTTTTCTCTGTGAATGTACCATCATCTACATATACAGAATATTTCTTTGTGATAGTACTTTTATTTGCACACTCTCAATAAAAAGGAGTTTAAAAAAAAAAAGAAAAAATTGCTGCAGAACATTTAGACAAGACGAGGTCAAATGGCACTGCACATTACCCCAAAAACACCATACCAACAGTGAAGTTTGGAGGTAGGAACATAATGGTGTGGGGCTGTTTTTCAGTATACGGTACTGGCAAACTTCAGATTGTTGAAGGGAGGATGAAATGAAAAATGTACCAAGACATTCTTGATATTCTTGATTCTGATGCAATCTACCAGGATGATGAAGATAAAATGAGAGTGAGGATTAAAGCAAGACAATGATCTCAAACACAAAGCCAAGGAAACTCTCAATTGGTTTCAAAGAAAAAAAATAAAGTAGCAAGAATGGCCCAGCCAATCACCTGACTTAAATCCAATTGAAAATCTATGGAAAAAACTAAAGATCAGAGTTCATTGAAGAGGCACACGGAACCTTCAAGATTAGAAGACCTTGTGTGGAAGAATGGGCCAAAATCACACCTGAGCAATGTATGTGACTAGTTTCTCCATACAGGAGGCGTCTTGAAGCTGTCATTACCAACAAAACAGGATTTTGTACGAAGTATTAAATAAATTTCAGTTAGCGTATTCAATACTTTCTCCCCCTCTGCCATTCCATTTTATTACGCATAGCCTAATTTCTGAACTTATTTGTTTTGGTTTCTTTGTATGTATAGATTGCATGGGTTGTTACCAATGTGGTGAAAATTGCATGTCAATAGCACCTTTAGAAATATATTAACTGAGAAAAATGGTGGCAAGTTCAATACTTATTTTACCTGCTGTACCTAGTGAAGTGACTGGGCTTAGGTAATACACAGAGATGAAACAAATCTTCCTACATACAGTATATTGCCAAAAGTATCGGGACACCCCTCCAAATCATTGAATTCAGGTGTTCCAATCACCTCCATGGCCACAGGTGTATAAAATCAAGCACGTAGGCATGCAGACTGCTTCTACAAACATTTGAAAAAGAATGGGTCGCTCTCAAGAGCTCAGTGAATTCAAGTGTGGTACCGTGAAAGGTTGCCACCTGTGCAATAAGTCCATCCATGAAATTTCCTTGCTACCAAATATTCCACGGTCAACTGTTAGTGGTATTATAACAAAGTGGAAGCAACTGGGAACACAGCAACTCAGCCACGAAGTGGTAGGCCATGTAAAATGACAGAGCTTGGTCAGCGCATGCTGAAGACCTCAGTGCACAGAAGTCGCCAACTGTCTGCAGAGTCAATAGCTAAAGACCTTCAAACTTGGTGTGGCATTCAGATTAGCACAACAACAGTGTGTAGAGAGCTTCATGGAATGGGTTTCTATGGCCAAGCAGCTGCATCCAAACCTTACATCACCAAGTGCAATGCAAAGCATCGAATGCAGTGGTGTGAAGCACGTCGCCACTGTACTCTAGTGCAGTGGAGATATGTTCTCTGGAGTGCCGAATCACGCTTCTCTGTCTGACAATCTGATGGACGTATCTAGGTTTGGCTGTTGCCATAACAACGATACGTGCCTGAATGCATTGTGCCAAGTGTAAAGTTTGGTGGAGGGGGGATTATGGTGTGGGGTTGTTTTTTAGGGGTTGGGCTTGGCCCCTTAGTTCCAGTGAAGGGAACTCTTAAGGTGTGAGCATACCAAGACATTTTGGACAATTTCATGCTCCCAACTTTGTGGGAACAGTTTGGGGATGGCCTCTTCCTGTTCCAACATGACTGTGCACCAGTGCACAAAGCAAGGTCCATAAAGATATGAATGAGCATGTTTGGGGTGGAGGAACCTGACTGGCCTGCACGGAGTCCTAACCTAAACCTGGCAGAACACCTTTGGGATGAATTAGAGAGGAGACTGCGAGCCAGGCCTTCTCATCCAACATCAATGCCTGATCTCACAAATGCACTTCTCAAGAATGGTCAAACATTCCCATAGACCCACTCCTAAACCTTGTGACAGTCTTCCCAGAAGAGTTGAAGCTGTTATAGCTGCAAAGAGTGGCCCAACTCAATATTGAACCCCACGGACTAAGACCGAAATGCCATTAAAGTTCATGTGGGTGTAAAAGTAGGCGTCCCAATACTTTTGGCAATATAGTGTAAGTTGTAGCTGTCTAACTGCAGTCTTCTTTTCCCTATATCTGTTCAAAGTGCTGAATTCAAAAAGCTTATCTGAGATTTCAGAAAAAAAAGGGGGCGGAGAGCTGAGATTACTCTGCAGAGCTCAGTGAGGAGAGCTCTAAGAGCTGATTGGAGGTAAGAGACAACCCCCCCCCCCTTCCAAACAGCTCACAGGAACAGAGCTGAAGCTCTGCTGGAGGTTCCTCCCCTGGTGTCAGGAAAACTTGTCAAAAGTGATTTATGCTGATGGCACAGGAACAAAGCAGCAGACAGAAAAGTCACTTGCTCTGGTCTGAAACAAGTACACACTATAGAGGGATATGCTTAGTTCACATTTCATGTCTGAGGTTTACAACCACTTTAATCTTCTTACCCCTAGGCAAAAATGGAGAACTTAACCCTGACAATATGGAGGGAGGGAGGCCCTGACAAGAGTAGTTTTCTATTCTCGTGCCCAGAGTTGGGCTCTAAAATATTTGTTATGGGTTGATTGGTCCTTGTAAAATTTAGCTATAGTCACACCATTGATACAATAGATTTTACTGTAAAATGTATTGTTATATATGAAAAATATTTAGATATCTGCTCCATCCATATTAGCTCAGACTTGTTATCACAAAATTGTAGTGTATCCACACGCACCACAAGCCACAGTCCAATAGATCTGAGATTCCTGGGTTTGGTGCAAGATCCGGTACGGTGCCACACGTGCACTTGAGTCCAGTACGACATCCAGTGTCCCCACCAGCAGGCCTAAGGAAAAACAGTAAAATAACAGGAGTTAACATGAGTGCAAAATGGTTTCAAGACAGAAGTTGTCTGTACGTGCCATGTGACTGCCTGTGGTATCTCTGCCATGTGACTAGTCAAGAGACTATTTCTAGTTGTTGTGACAACAATGAACCTAAAGAGGAACTTCTCCCTGCATAGGGTAAACTAAATCTCAGCTCTCTAAAAAGTGCTCCTAAGGCTCCTTGAACACTGGCTTTAAAAAAAATACGCTGCTCCTAGAGAAGTTTAGTGTTTTGCCTGTAGAAGCAACTAATGTTATCCTATAGGTCCATACAGATTAGATAGCCTAGAGGTGGTTTTTTTTAAGCATTTTAGAGTTCTTCTGGCAGAAAAAAAAATGCCAAAAACACTCAACGCTAGTATAAAAAAAAACACTCAATAAGTAGCATTTTTTTTTCTGTCAAGAACACTGGCTTTTCTTTTTATTAAGCCAGTGTGCATAAAGTCCTAAACAAAAACATGGGAGTCCAGTGTTGTCTTCCTTGCAGATTAATTTCTCCTTGTGACACCCTTGTGCTTCCATGTCACCTGCCAATAGGAAGACTTTCTTTCTGATCTTCACAAGCTTGGGTTCTGCAGGGATCTCCAAAGTGTGCAGACATGTGGCAGATCTCTGCCAGGTCCCAAATAATTCCACTACAATGTGCAATACTTCATCCTTCACTGAAACGCTGCCTCCTGGGATTTTTGACATGGACATCCCAGGAGGCAGCCACCCTCGCCTAGGTGAGGAATCAGGAAGTGACAGGCTGCGCCACGAAAACGTACAGCCATGTCATTCATTCACAGCAATCTGTGACTGAGAGAATTACAATTACACTGCAGCAGACAGCTTGTCATTCTCAATGAACTGCAAGGATGCTGATGAGCGCTCTTGTAGTTAATTTACAAGCCCTGCAACTTTTATACTGACAGCCTGCTTGTCTGCAGTAGCCTGATGTTACACCCATGATCCACTGATCATAGGTGCAATGCTCTGCAGGCTCTGTGAAAAAAATCTATTGCACTTTTTTTTTTTCTCCAACAGAAATATGTGCATTTATTATCTTTTCACAAAAGCGAACTTAGCCTTTAAGAAGGAGGGAGTTTTTACTATTAATGTAACAGATCAGCAGAGCTCTTATGGGTTGTGATAGGAGATACACCATCCTCATAATTCCTTATCAAAGCTTTCGGATTTTAAAAGGCATAGTCCATCTTTTGAAATATAAATAATAAATAAATATAAAATAAATAAATGCACCCATATTCAAAATAGAAAAAAATATGCATTGGTCATGTGACATCACAGATCACATGACAAAGTGTTGAGAAACACTACACAAAGCAAGTAACCATGGGCCTCTTCACAAAGGTCTGGACGTTTATTGTATATTTTTATAGTTCATACAGTTATGATGTGATTTTAGAATACCTCCTTACACACACAAGTAAATGTTTTAGGGCCCATTCACATGTCTATTTGAGGCAGTGCACTTTGCCCCAATGTACAACAATGCACCTGTTATATGTGCAGTGCATTGCCATTCACTGTGAATAAGCACTGCAATGCACTGTACAGTAGAACGCAACATACAGGGCACTGCAGGGCATCACAACAAGGATACAGTGTAGTGGGGAAATGGGTTTTGAAAAAAAGGGTCTGTGCACATTTCCATTATTGAGTATTTGCAGCCCATTCGTAATTAATTCAACACGCCTTAACACGCCACAACAGAATGCTTTAGTGTGAATGGGCCCTTAAAGGGTATGCATAGCCAAAACATATTTACATTCTGACTAGCGTACGGAAAAATTAGAACTCCTATCTATTGTTGTGTCTCTGCTAGGAAGGTACACCTCTTTGTCGGCTTTGGTTCCCCTTTTTTTTTCGATCGAAAATCCAAACTGTTCCAAAATGTCCTCAGAACAAGAATGAGGGTAAATGCTCCAATGGGGACACTGGTGAAATTTTACTCACTTCCTGTTGCGTCTCTGGGACAGGAATTGATAAAATCTGCCCAAAGGGACACAGAATGAAAAAAAAAAAATAAACTGACAAGTATTTTAACCCTTCCCTACTCTAAAACAAAAAAAAAAATTGCTATACATACACTTGGAGGTGATCTTCTGATTTTGGAGAAATAATGGTAAGTTATTAAATTTGCTGCACTGCAATTCAATGTAATGAGAAATGATAGCACAGAATAGAGCAGTCTCCGCATTTTACTGAAAGACGTTTGTGACACCCATGAGATTATGTCTACAGCACTGAACCCCCCCACTGCCACACAGTTATTTACAACATCTTCAATGACTCATTGCTGGGTGACTACAATTACCTACAGATAACTTCATGCCCATACATACTATTTATTATAAAGTACCAAATTGCTCTTTGGTTCTTTTGACCTAGGAAAAAAAATAAAAATCACAAAGCTACCATAAATAGATTAATATCTAACAATATGCAGCTTAACAGTCTTTAAAGTGGTTGTAAAGGCTAAAGGTTGTTGTACCTTAATGCAGTCTATGCATGAAGGTAAAAAAACCTATTGCTCCCCCCCCCCCCCAGCCACAGGTCCCCCAATATTTACCTGAGCACCCTCTTGATGCAGCGATGTGCACAGGAGCCTCGGCTGTTCCAGGTCTCTCTCTCCTCAATGGCTGAGACACAGCAGAGGGAGGTGTCAATCACAGCCAGTGAGCCAATGAGGGGAAAGCGGGGGGGGGGGGCTCGAGAGCGAGCGCATACCAGTGACCCCACAACAAGCAACTTGCTACTAGGGGCAGTAGTCAAGCGGGAAGAGCCATGGGCACCAGCAGTGGAGGTTTTTTTTTACCTTCATGTATTCTGTGCAAGAAGGTAAAAAACCTTCTCTGTTCAGCATCACCTCCAGCCCCCGTAATACTCACCTAAGTCACCTCTCGATCCAGCGACGTGCATTGGAGTCTCGGAGACTCCCTCTCCTTATTGGCTGAGACAAGAGCGGGAGCCACTGGCTCCCACTGCTGTCAATCACAGCCAGTGAGCCAATGAGAAGTGACAGAGGCGGTGGGGCCGAGCCACGGCTCCATGTGTGAATGAACACACAGAGCAGCGGGTGCCCCTATAGCAAGCTGCTAAGGGCACTTGACAGGAGGGAGGGGCAAGGAGCTCCGGAGGGGGACCAGGAAGAGGAGGATCCAGGCTGCCCTGTGCAAAACCACTGCACATAGTAGGTGAGTATAGACTTGTTTGTTATTTTTAAAAAAATGTAAGCCTTTAGAATTACTTTAACCACTAGCCTACAGGGCACTTATACCCCTTTCCTGCCCAGGCCAATTTCCAACTTTCAGCGCTGTTGCACTTTGAATGACAATTGCGCGGTCATGCAACACTGTACCCATATGAAATTTTTATCATTTTTTTGTGACAGATAGAGCTTTATTTTCGTGGTATTTAATCACCTCTGGGGTTTTTTTTTTTTTTTTTTTCTTATACAAACCAAAAACACTGAAAATTAAAAAAAAAAAAATCTTTCTGTGTTTTTCTTAGTTTTTGTTATAAAATGTTGTAAATAAGTGATTTTTCGCCTTCACTGAGGCAGCACTGATAGGCTGCACTGATGGACACTGATAGGTGGCACTGATGGGCATTGACAGGCATCACTGATGGGCACTGAAAGGCAGCACTCATATATGGCACTGACTGGCAGCACTGATAGGTGGCACTAACTGGCACTGATGGGTGACAGTTAAAGGCAGCTCAGATGGGCACTGATATGTGGCATTGATGTGCATTGATTGTGCACTGGTAGGCACTGAAATGTGGCACTGATGGGCACTGGCAGGTGGCATGGATGAGCACTGACAGCTGGCACTGATGGACACTGACAGGTGACACTGCTGGGGCTACACAGATAATTAGTGCCCTGATGATCAGTGTACATGTCCCCTCTGAGGGATGCCGATTACCGGCTCTCCTCTCCTCTCGAGCTGTTAGTGTGGTAAGGAGAGAAATGCTGATAACCGGCATTTCCCTATTTACATGCGATCAGTTGTGATTGGACACAGCTGATCACATGACCGAGCCGACATCTTCGACTCTTTCTGTTGATCGGTGATCCGCTGTGTCTGTGCGCTCCAGGAGCCGTGTATGCGCAGTTATAATGGGAGGATGACGTCGGCATAGAGGTGATAGTTGAACGTCCTCCCAGAACGAGAGAACCGCCTTGCGCCCGTCATTGTACTATATGGCGGGCAGGAGGCGGTTAAAAAACAGACACTCACCTGATCCTTGATACAGCAGTGTCCTCACCACAGCCGGTTTCACTGGCTGTCCTCTCTATTTGGCGTCGGCAGTGACAGCTTGCGACTTCAAAACCAGGTGCCCACTGAGAATGTGCAAGTAGCGCTGCGCCTTATGAATGGTCCTGTAGTCTCCTGGGACCTGTCACGTGTACCAGAAGACTACGGGGAGGGAGGACAAGTTCCGATCACAGCAGAAGTGGGAGTGGCTACCTGTCAAAATTGAGTACCTGCTCTCTCCCCCCTCCGCTCCCCAAAAGGTGCACTCTCCCACTGACCCGAACACCTCCACTAGTAGTTTCACACGCTCCTGCACATCCCGCTCCCATGCCACCTTTCTCACCCTTCTCCTCCTCCTAACCACAGGGGACATCTCCCCGAATCCTGGCCCTCCACCACCTCCCTCACCCACACAACACCCTCCCGCCTCCACGTCCTTCTGAAACCCCCGCAACTTAGTATCTGTCCCTCTGCTCCCTAAAATCACCCCCCCCCCCCCGTTTTCATGTGCACTCCTGAACGCCCGATCGTTGTGCAACAAGGTTACTGCCATCCACGACCTCTTTGTTTCCCACTCCCTCAACCTCCTAGCGATCACGGAAACCTGGATCCAGGCCACTGACTCTACCTCCCCTGCTGCACTCTCCTATGGAGGTCTCACCTGGACCCACTCACCCAGACCCAACGGTCAT